CTGGGGAGAGGGAGGTCTGGGCCTCCCTTCTGAAGCTGCTGCCCCCGAGACCCGACCCCAGATAAGTGGAAGAAAATGGATGGATGGATGGATGGATGGATGGATGGATGGATGGATGGATGGATGGATGGATGGATGGATGGAGATGGCTACAAACTGCCAGTGAACCACTACCAACAGAATAATATAAACTGAATGCTGCTTCCATGATTTTTGTCATCATCCATCATGAGGCCAGCACACGGTCCTGTTTTTAATGTATGCAGGTTCAAATCATGAACAGGCTGCCACCATGCTCCACCCAGTGACGTCACGCTGCTCTCACAATGATACACAACCATGGCTTCAACTCAGACGGTTCATGCACGCTCAAAACCACGTTTATCTCTCTCCTTTTTTTGGTACAAGTTTGACAATTTTATTTTGAAAGTATCAACCGGAAATGGTATGTCTAAGTTGTTGAACCTGACAGATGTTGCGCTCAGTCTGCATGAGAAAAAAGAAAAGCAATAATAAAACAGCTACAGACTCACAGTGTGGTGAAACAGCCACACCTGCTCTCTAATTACTGACCCCGGTGGAGGAATGAGACCTCCTGCGCGTGCGCACTGACCAGCTGCGTCAGGTTTGTTTCATTTTCTCCTGTCAGTCACACAGAAACACCCACAGATGTGACACAGATTTGATTYCTCAAACAATTTGAGGCCCAAGCTGTGTTTTTATGATAACAAGTCTAAGCCCTGCGTATGTAGGATACAGACTTGTCAAAGTTGTGAAACATCTCGTTTTTTCTTTCTTATATGCGTTTGAAGAACAAAGTCTGTGCAACACAAAGTGCATTGATGTGTGTTTAAACATTAAACCTTAGCAGCAGATCAGAGCTGGACGGATAAAGATCCGAATCTTTGCACTGAATCAGAATTTACATTCTGTTGTCATTCAGATCCGTGGTGTCCTGCAGTCTCACTGGGAAAACAGCTGAATTTGCAGAACTTTGCAAAATCAAACAAGTCGGGTCACTGATGCAGCTGAAAAACTCACAAGAAACACGATGGACTCAAATGAGTCGTTTACATAAGTTTATAATAAATAAATAATCCATTTAACACACATTGATAATTTAGTGACGCAACTTTCTGTTTGATTTGCACATTTTACACTTGTGTTCCATCATTTTTAATGCGTTTTCTGTTTTAGTGTATTGAAATGTAAAATGTGTTTCCTTAATATTCAACACCACAGCGTTTTTTTAAGACTGAAGTGACAGAAGTGGTTCAAATCCACCCAGACAAAACTCTGATGATCAGCTTGAGTTTGTTTGTTGGTTTTTGTCGCCCTCTAGAGGCAGGTTTGAGTAGTTACACGTGTTGGCTCGTTGAACTTGAACAGTGTGTTTTACAATCTAAAAAACTGTCCAATAATTTTCTCCACAAGTCAAACCAATGATCAGTTTAAGTTCAGGACAGTTTATATTGTGTTATAATAATGCAGCAGCACACAGATCCATCCATTTTCTTGATTTTCCTGTCCAGGTCACGAGCAGCTGGTGCTGTCTCCAGCGGTCACTGTACAGGAGATGATGGAGCCCCTGGACATGTCTCCAGTCCATCACTGGGACACAGAGAGATAAACAACCATACACACTTTCAGAGGCAGTTTAGAATTAATAATGAACCTATTATGGATGTTTTTGTTTTGTGGAAGAAAATCAGAGTAAAGAGGGAGAACATATAAACATTTACATGGGTGAATTGAGTATATTTGTATTGGTTACACTTTAAACCTCTGGTGGCAAACATGAGCATTACACCACAGAATTATCT